TGTGTCCTTTTTCCCAATTGCTTCAGGTTTTTTCTGTACTTTTTCCCTTACTGGCACAGGACAGGGCATTTTTGTTCCACTGTGTTGCGTTCAAGGTCCAGTTCTGCATTGTGTTGCAAATGCCTCCAGACATACCTTTGTTTCCCTCACATGCAGGGCTAAACCAGTGGAAAACTGCCCTGACACTGTACCGTTATTAAACTCCAGTGAGCTCACACTTTCTTATTGTAAAACCCTTTACTGTACAGTAGGAGCACGTATGAAGGTGTGTCTGGGCACAAGGGCATTTCTGTTTACGACCAAATTAGAGTTAAAATGGAAAACTCTCCCACGTGCCAAAAAAAGCAGCAGGTTGCAATGCTTTCTGGGTGATAAATCAAAGGGAATTCAGGGCAAACATTACCGTATAAATGCTCCCGGGAGATTCGATCAAACAAACGGCACAGCAGATCCAAGGATAAAGTCCGATGACATTTGTATAAATGAGAACTGTTTCGCTCGTTAGTGTAAACCTGTCTGCAGCTGATGGACTGTAAAGACTCTGCATCTGCTTTTTGTCACCAAGTCCACACTCATTTGGAAAGACCCCACAAACTTTGATATTAAGCAGGACTTCTAGATTTCGAACCCCTATGACGTGACGTTACTAAATGGAAACTTTGCATACGTAACTCCATCTTTTAACTCCCAAATGCAAACAAGTGTCAGCAACTAAATATAATTGATTGCATTTTTGTGTTGGAATTTCCTCTGGCTGCAAGCGACACAGGTTTCGTGTTTCTTTCGGACTTCCTGTTTCTGTTTATTGTAGTCACTCACGTTGCAATGCGTTAGGAATGACTGAAATGAGGCGTTCATGACTATTCTTTACTACAAAACCCCAAATAAGGAAGCAGCTGGCTTGAGGGAGATCGCTAGGGAGTTAAAAACTGCTACTGACACCTTATTAGTAGGCTACTTCTTGCTGTTGGCTATGTTTGCATATCATTTCCAGTGTACATTACACCATAAAACATGTGTTTTCTGATTAAAGACATGGGAAGACTGCAAGTAGCATCCATCAGACTCAGAGGTAATGTCTCCTTAGTCTTCGAGCACACAGCTGGTTTGTAAAAGTAACAGTAAAGTGCATTAATGGATTCAGTGTGGAGAGAACATTTTACTTAATGCGATAGTCGGACATGTATTTGTAGGCTTTTTAATTACAACAATCCTTCTTAGCTTCTTTACATTTCCATATATTGATTCGCTTTGTTAAATGTAAAAAACACCATTTTGTTTCCTCCGCTTTTTTATTGTTAACCCAGTCCAGAAACATGTTTTCCGACTTTAAACATTTTGGAGAGCGTCTTCAAATTTCCATACATGGATTTGCTTTGTCCAAAAAAAGATCATCTCTCTCTAAAGCTGTTCAGATAGATGGATGCAGAACAGTGGAAATATCATTACATATCCTGCGGTTTTGTTCAGATCTGCCTCTTCACTGATTCTGGAAAAATAGGTCTGAGTGCATTTGAGGTCCGCAGACTGCCAGATATTCCACTCTGCATCTGAAGACTGTCTGTGGCTGGTATTCTCCTCCAGACTCGGCTCTCAGCTTTGAGAGACAGCGCTCCTTGAAGCAGATCAAAACTGGCAGCGGCTTCGAGCTAATGGCGGCTGCAGCGGCGTCTTTGTGGTGAAGACTGAGTGACGGCCGCTCTGAAAACACACACGGAAATAAACTAATACATGCACATTAATGAAGTCAAACACATCCAAAGCAACATCAAGTTTGATGTGTTTTCTCAGTCAGAAAGTAATGAAACCTGTCAAATTGAAAGTTTTTACAGTATGTCTTTATCAGGATCTCCATTAGTTACTTTGTTCCCACGTTACTTTGTTCCCACGTTACTTGTGTTTCTTGCGTCTGGCATTACTTTTGTGCTTCATTACTTTCGTCCTACATTACTCTTGTCCTACATTACTCTTGTCCTACATTACACTTGTCCTACATTACTCTTGTCCTACATTACTCTTGTCCTACATTACACTTGTCCTACATTACACTTGTCCTACATTACTCTTGTCCTACATTACACTTGTCCTACATTACTCTTGTCCTACATTACACTTGTCCTACATTACACTTGTCCTACATTACTCTTGCCCTACGTCACTCTTGTCCTACGTCACTCTTGTCCTACATTACTCTTGTCCTACGTTACTCTTGTCCTACATTACTCTTGTCCTACATTACACTTGTCCTACATTACTCTTGTCCTACATTACACTTGTCCTACATTACTCTTGCCCTACGTCACTCTTGTCCTACGTCACTCTTGTCCTACATTACTCTTGTCCTACATTACTCTTGTCCTACATTACTCTTGTCCTACATTATTCTTGTCTGACGTTACTTATATTCTCCGTTGCTTTCCATCCCGTGTTCCAGGTTACTTTCGTTCTACGTTATTTTCATCTCTTATTGTCCAGCATTTGTTTCATCCTTTTTTCCCGCATTACTATTGTCCCGGGACTCCTCTACCAGTACAGTGCAGAGAAACATACATTTACATTCTTATGTGATGAAAGGGATATTCTGTGCTAATCATCACGTTGTGGAAACTTTATTTCCCACTGTACATGCTGTCACCTTCTATAACTCCAGAAAGATTATCATTTGACATGCCTCTCCCTCTTCCTCCTCCTTTTCCATCTTTCACAAATATTTCCTGTGTCTGTATGGGAAAGTGACCAAATGTCTGCCTGCAGAAACACGAGCCCCTGTGGTGGGGAAATTATATTTATTTAAATATATCTTTAAGGGTTTTGGCTTCTGCGAGCCGCAGCCATCAGAAAGTTGAGGTCATGATGTTTGTAATGTAACTCTCAGTACGGAGCAGTTTCTGAGTGAGCACATTTTTGTATAGCGATGCGATTCAGTTACTCCATCAACTCAACAAGGGTCGATTTAGGGTCTGTTTTGGGTTAGTCGGAGTCAGGGTGAGATTAATGGACATTATAAGATATTACTTTGGCAGAAAGAACAGTTAACCTGCACAAAAGGAGCTTTATCTCGGAGAAATGCACAGACAAGAAGAGAATATACTAGTGTCTTAAAACTGGATATTTAAAGAAAATCACAGCTGAATCTTTTTTTTTATTTGTTGACTTATTGACGTTTGTCCATACATATTTTCACATACAGTGTAAAATAAATAAGACAAAGAAACATGCCTTATAATATACCTTTTTTTCAATGACGACCACGATACAATATCTGTAAATAAAACGTATATAGAAGAGAAAACAGAAGATAGATAACTAGCATACATCTTAGGATAATTCTTACCCAAACTGTCCCGTTTTAACATCCATCATCGGCTGCTATTTCAAGTAAAACCTCGATGCCAAAACCACAGAAATAACCAAAGTAATAAACTCAAAACATTGGGATATTAAAACACATATTTCATAACCCATAAGAAAGCAAGTTATGAAGTTATGTCTCTAGAGGCTAGCTAGTTAGAAGGTAAAACTGTAAAATGTCTGTAAAATGACATCTACAGTAGGAAGCTCTGATTTGATGAAGATGTCCAATAAATAAAACCCAATAAAGACATTTCTTCCTCTCGTGGGCGTCGCGGACACTTTGAGTTCACGACATGCTTTATGTCTCTCCTCTCCCTCGGCTCCTGTCTCCGCACGCTCTGAACTCACTAATGAAGCCGAAATGTCCTCAGAAATATTTCAAATATTGGATTGTTCTCCAGGCGTCTCTGCCCTTTATAGCTGTGGAGACTTCTTCAATTCTTCTGTCCACTCCCCGGCCTTTTAATAGTTCCCACTTTACAAAATTGAAGATTGTTCCTTTGTTTTAAGGAGAAGAAGATGAAGATAATGGAACGAATTCAAGAAAAAACAACCACACTGCCTTTACGGTATAAGAGAAATTGCTTACAGTTGAGATTTAAAACATCTGTTTTTGGGAGGAAATGTAGGGAATTTTAAGGCACCATTGTTCACAAAGTCAGGGAACGAATCCTTAAGAAATATTTACTTGTGGGTCCATTAATTGGACAACTCATGGATGTGTTTCTTTGCTTTATTGCATCCAGTAATTTATCTAACTGAGGCTAATCTCCTTGATGGTCTTTTATCCGACTCAAGTTGATTTGGAATATTTGTTTACATTTCCCCAGAATCAAATCATCCCTTTGTGGTCATCACAAGGACTTTTATTTGAACTTTCCTTAAGGACATTCTCCCTAAATGTCAGTATTGCGAAATAAATTGAAACTGTTTTGTGTCTGGGAGGTCATTTAGGGAATTTGATGGCACTATTGATGAGTTTATCCTTAAAAATACTATTGAAATTATTGCTCCGAAAAATCTAAATACCTTGAAACAATAAATGAAGATAAGATAAGATAAAATGTACTTTATTAATCCCAATTTGGGAATGTTTTGTTGTTGCAGCAGCAGCATAAAACAAAACAAGGCATTGCACATAATAACTAATTAAAAGAGTAAAAATAAACAATTCTAAAATAGAAACATCTCAAAATAGAAATGAGCAATTAGAAAGTAAGAAAAATATAAAGATGACCGTAAAGATCTATAAACAATCATAATTGATAAAAAATTGAATAATCATATCAAGAAAAATCTACGTTCATAAGACACAAAACTGCCATAAATCGTTAGTTTCGTCCTACCTTACTCTTGCCCTACGTTACTCTTGTCCTACGTTACTTACATTCTCCGTTGCTTTCATTCTGTGTTGCTCTTGTTCCAGGTTACTTTCGTTACTTACTTACGTTATTTTATATCTCTTATGATTTCCTCTTGCGTTACACGTTAATTATGTCCTGCGATACTTTTGTCTCGGAATGCCTTATCAAGGTTACTTGTCCTGCGATAAAAGAAAAATCTACGTTCAAAAGACACAAAACTTCGATAACTAATGAATCAAAAATAACTAAAACTAAAAGCACAATTCCCTTGTTGTTTTTCAGAGGTGGGCCCTCCTAAAAACCTGGCCACCAGCGACGTGACTGAATCCAGCTTCAAGGCGTCGTGGACAGCGGCTCCCGGGAATGTGAAGATGTACCGAATCCGATGGAAGTCGCTGTTTTCGGAAGATGCCGGAGATAAAACGGTGCCGGGAGACGAAACCGAAACCGTTCTGGAGGGTTTGAGTCCGGAGACGCTTTACCAAGTTTCTGTGATCGCCGCATACGAGCAGAGAGACAGCAAACCGCTCATTGGACAGGAAACCACTGACGGTAAGAACACAGAAAATGCTGACTCATTCCCAGGTTTTAAGACTCATTCCTGCACCACTATATTCTTAATGAAGGTAGCGTGTAATGGCGTTGTCGGCCAACCTTCAGGACAGTATTTGTTGCTGATAATGTCAAAATAAAATGCTGACTCATTTTGATATAGCTGACTCATTTGGAGGTTTTAGGGACTCATTCCTGCACCACTATATTCACAAACACAGTGCAAACAAGCCCAAAAGTTGAACTGCAATTTACACAATTTTTGGGGGGGTGCAAAGAAAGGAGCATTTCTGTTGGGAATTTCCCCAAAATACACTATTGGTTAAGTTGCCTAACTAATCATAAGTAAGGCTATGTGGCACTTTTAAAAACTTGGTAATAACATGCTTTACATTAAACGATAAAAGAAGAATAAGTGCATGCAGCAGAACTTCAACAAATACTTAAATTAAGGACAGAGCACCTCATCTGAACAGCTTGGAGGTTAAGGTGCATTTAAATCCCTTCTGCAGCCCAGGAAAGGTGAATAAAAGTTGGTGGTGAGTTCATGAGCTAGATTTGTACCCCTCTGAGGGATGTTTAGGAAGTGCATGCAACACCAATATGAGCCAGAATCGAATCAATACTTCCTTTGTTTCAGTAGAAAATGGATTTCAGAGCTTGCATAATCATATATTAGGCATTCTTCTTCTCTCTCGTCTAATCAGGATATTCATTGTTGATTATTTTCAAACTGTAAATGGGAGTGTCACGCTGAAGTGTTGACAGTTCTGCTGTTTAACGCTCTCTGAAATATCCAAATTCATGAGTGAGGGGATATTGGTTCAATGTGTGTGTGGCGAGTGAATGACGTATTTTGAATACACGTTGCATTAGAGAAGAAACACGCCCTAGAAACTTCACCGCATTACTTATTATATTGTAAAACATGAGGAATCATATTGCGTAAATCTTCACAAACAGGCGACCCCCAGCAAGACGAAATGTAGACAAATCAAACACTTAAAAATAAATCAATCTAAAAAGATAAACGATAAAATAGAGGGTAGAAAAATGTCATAAAAAAGGAAACAATATAATAATAATACAGTACAAATAAAGTAATTATAAATAACAATAAATAAATAAGACCCCCCCCCCCCGAGCTCCCCCTCTCGGCTCACTAGAATGAATGGAGAGAGAAAATAAATCCAGATTCGGCTTTTAGTGCATTTTACAACTTTAAGGACCGAATGATTCTAATAAGGGCTATACAATAGTTCATATTGGGAAGTTTATTTAGTTAAAAAAAAATTATCCGCTGATTTACAGATGTTTCTTTCCCCATGTTAGTCAATGGGAAAAAGTCTTTCTGGGCCCAGTGACGTCACGGACTGATACGGAAGTTGCAGTACCGCCGTTTGGACACAACGAATATTTTCATCAGAGTCCGGCGCACTTCCTGGGGGCTTGCCAACAACACATTGAAAAGTTGGATGCCATGTTTCTTTCCGCCAATAAAACAAAATCAAGCGGTCTGAAAAACGTTCCTCGGGATCGTTAAAGTTACATATTTTTCCCTTGCAGAGTTTTCTTTTTGTAATCACTAGCAGAATTATCGGAATAAGTTGATTTCATATCTTTGTTTCTGAGGGAAAATGTGGTTAACATTTCCTCGCCAATAGATCATTTCTGAGTGAACGCCTAATTCATTACCAATTAGTCTTGGCATGACGCTGGTGGGATTACTCAACATTTATGCCTGCAGTTAAACACACATTACGGAGGGATATAAAGGGAAATCACACTTGGCCTGGAAATAGAGAACAAGGGTTGATTTGAGGATTTTTGATAAAAAATAACTAGCTGTTTATGGAAGTTTAACAGCCCCCAAAAGAATATGTGTGTACAATATAATCATGTGCATACAAAACATGTTAATGATGATAATGAGGTTTAATTGGAGTAAGACAACATCAACATTTTATCATCGCAATATGGTGAAGTGCAATATTCAAATCACAGGAAGCACAATATTCATAAAAGGCTAAATATGGGGTAAAATATATATATTATTGTATGTATTTTCAGTAATAAATATAAATAAATAAAAATATATTTTAAAGCATTATTTAAGATTTAAATTAATCTAAATATTGGCAATAAATGTAAACATTATTTATTCTATAAACATATCATGAATTTTGATCTATATGTGTATAAATTATTGAAGATAAATACATAAACATAGATACATAAAATAAATAGATAAATAAATAAATGAATGAATGAATAAATAAATAAATGATATCATACATCCTGTTACTGCACTACAAAAAAACCTTGAAAAAATATTATATTACATTTAAAAATACAAAATGTTGGCATTATAATATAATATATATATATTTTATCTCTGTTCTCAGCCTCTGCTGCCGGTAAAAGCTTGGCGGTGTCGGAGGAGACCGAGCGATCCATGAGAGTCTCGTGGACGCCGGCGCCGGGAAAAGTGGCACATTATCGGCTGAAGTATTCTCCGTTTGGCGGGGGGAAAGAAATGTTCCTGAAGGTCCCCGGGACTAGCAGCTCCACCGTCATGAAGCGCCTGCAGCCCACCACCACCTACACCATCACCGTGAACCCCATCTACAAGCGAGGGGAAGGAAAAGCAAGGCAAGGAGTAGGAACGACACGTACGTTTTGGTCCATAATTCAACCCTCTGACAGAACAGCACACCGCAGAAACACGAAACATCCCAAACAAGACGTTTAAACCTGAGCTCACTCTTAACACTTGGGTAACACTTTAGATTAAGGTACACATGTTCACCATCAAGTGGTTGTTAATTAACATGCATATCAGAATCAGAAGAATCAGAATCAGAAACAGGTTTATTACCAGGTAGGTTGACACGTACGAGGAATTTGACTTGGTGTCGTGGTGCATACAAACAAGAATTAAAAACACAGGTAGAGAACTAGAAAAATATTAAAAATAGTTAAAAATATATATTAAAATATAACATTATTTGAGTCAAACTACTAGCTTATTGGTTATAATATTAATAATAATAATAATAATAATAATACATTGGATTTTTATAGCGCTTTTCCTGATGCTCAAAGACGCTTTACATAAAATCAGAAACAGAAACAGTACAAATGAACAAGACTTCACTTTAAAATAGGGAACATATTCTGAGTTAGAAAAACCTCATTTTGAGTTATTTTGACAAAATGAACACTTATAGTTTCATGTCTTGTTACATCAGAATAGATCATATTTGTTAGGTGTTATTATGGGAGATATTGAGCAAAGCATATTAAGACCCAAACTCACGTACAACAACGCCCTTACTTACAATAAATAAACACTAATTAGAAGGTTTTTAAGGAAAAACTCGTAACTAATGGCCTATTACTTATATAATAAGGCATTAATATGTGTTTTATAATGACCAATAAAGAGCCAATATACTGCTAATATGCATGTTAATTAACAACTAGTTGATGGTGAATATGTGTACCTTAATATAAAGTGTTACCAAAACTTGCAGATGATGTAGAGGTAGAAATGTTGGTCTGATTTCAACGCTTTCGGAAACAGAGGAAGGTTCCAGGTCTGGTTTGGAGATGGTGCCTGAATGCAAACTAGTTTTTCGGGTTTCCACAGCAGTCATGCCACCTCTCTCTCCCCAAATATTGGTTAAACTCCAGCCCCAATTATCTAGAGTACATGGCGAGTGCTACTGGGTAGAAAGTTGTTGCAGAACCAGTAGCTCCGATATCGAAAAGTGGCTCGAACACACGTTAAATAGCCTAAACGTCACCAGCTACAAGTATATGGTATATCATTAAATGTACCATACATCTTGGGCTAGCATACTTATAGAAAGTTGGACTAACTAATGGATGTGTTGTTATTGCTTCTGTGTGTAGTAACTTTATTTGACCTGGGTTAGGGTCACTTATCAACGTTGTGACTTTATAGTCAGGATATAGACACTTTTTAGTACAAAATTAGATGTTTCCAGGTTAACTTTTGGGCTTATATTGGTTCTACTTACAGAAAGTCTAAGACTAACTAATGGATGTGTTGTTTTCAGTTGCAAGGGTTAGGGTTAGGGTCACTTCTCAACTTTATCTGACTGCTTTTAACGTTGGAAAATGTGTTTGATTCCCACAAAATCAGACCTTTAGAGTCAGGATTTAGACTTTCATCTAAACTGACTTTGAAGGACTTTTTCCTATGAAATGTCAGAAATGCTAAACACATTTTTAGGTAGAAAAATAAACTCGCTTTAACTTTTGGGCTAATATTGGTTCAAGTCAGTGACCCAATGGATGTGTTTCTTTGGTCTCACTAGGATTAGGGTTAGGGTTAGGGTCACTTCTCAACTTTTTGACTTTATTTGTCTTTCACATAAACAGGAAAATGTGTTTAAATTCCCCCAAAATCCAACCTTTCTGGTCAGGCTAAGGACTCTGACCTTAACTGGCTTCCTTGCTATCTCCAAGTAAATGTCATTATTGCAAAACTAACGGAGAAACCTTGGCTTGTCGGACAATTTTGTCACTTTCTTCTAGAGAAACGATAACACAACTCATGCTTTGTTGGACACGAACATGATTAGGTCGTCCAAGTTGCAGATTTGTATCCCCTTTTGTTCCAGAGTTTAAGACTGACTTCCAGTTTAAACGACTTGTTAAGATGCATATTATTTAACCCTGCAAAGAAGCACCAGCACACTAAAACCACAGTTGATAAACCCACGCTCAATCACACGCTATTATTACTAACACACGGCATGACACTGGGCTTCTTTAACCAATCAGGTTCAAGGTATTGTATTATGGACTGATGAGCTTGAATGTGGACTGGCTGACCTTCCAAACCGTTGCCAATCAATGGTGTTTTATTCAATTTTTGATCTGCACACGTTTGTCCTGAAGTTCTTCCCGGGTTCTTTTTATTTCAGTGTCGCCCTACAAGGCTCCTAGGAACCTTCAGACCTCAGAACCCACTAAGACCAGTTTCAGGGTCACCTGGGATCCATCTCCCGGAGAAGTGAAGGGATACAAGGTGACCTTTCGCCCCGATGGGAATGATATCGACCTGGGGGAGCTTCTAGTCGGTCCCTACGATAACACCGTCGTTCTAGAGGAACTTAGGTAAGCTTTTTTCTAACTACTAGTTGTTTAAATATTCTGAAAAAGGTCATGCCTTGATGAGAGAAGGGTTCGATGTTTAAAAATTAGGGACTGTGTTGTAGTCTGGACGGCAGGAATCTGAGACTTTTCAACCAGTGACGCCACTATCAGGTGACCCTTAAGCCTTTAATACTTGAGGTTAATTCAACATGGATAACCAATGAAATATGTTGCTTACCTTGGTGTCTATACCAGCAGCTAGGGATGGGTATAACTAGGATTGTAGGATTTTTGTGCTTTTTATTCAGAAATAACTGTATAACTATAGTCTTTGAGCTTCTCAGAAACTAAAAGACTCAAAGTCTGGATGACTGAAGGCGAGACACCCCAGGTGAATAGGGTAATTTTTTTAACTTAAAGATATCAGCTAAAACATTCTCCAGTTAATTACTTACAATAAGGCAATTGTTTTTTGTATTACAAGTTTTCTGAAATAGCATGTTTAAATATGCAAATGAACCATTATCTCATGAAATATGCGCATATTTTAACACATTTCAGGAACCGAAATCTGAACTTTGGATAAAGCCAGGATCAAAATTATTGTTTCATTTTGTAGTCATATTAGTATCTAAGGCTTTTACAGAAGGGATTTTGGATATCTCTTTGTATCACTCCATAAATCAGAAAATACTGTCAACAGCCCTAAAATATCAATTTTCACCATGTTTTTAGGTATAAAATGTTATATAATTCAGGCTATGAATTATATATGACCAAACCCTTCTGTAAAAGCCTTCATAATATTGATAGGAATATAACTGGAAGGTTTGGTGTATGTAACTGCTACTGAAGTGGACATTTCGAACTCAGAGTAGGAGAAAAAACTCATTTTGAGAAAACGACCTTTAAAGATTGCAGTGTGACGCTAGCTAAACCCTCCTGTTATCTGGATGATAGCTTGCGCATCGACGCACTCCGTGAAGGTATTTCATGTTCGGGGTCATTTGTTTTTTGTATAACCTTGCTTTGTGCAAGTGACAATTGTTGTCGTCTTCTCTGTGAACGTTTTTTTCTCCGTTATTTTGCCATTTTCAGATTTAAATTTCTAGCGGAAAGCTAACCAGGAAGTGCTTTAGCACACCACGTGACGTATCTGAACGAATCACGTTGTCAGAAATTGACACCAGCCAATGAGATTTCGTTTCGTGGTTTAAGACCCCTTTGCACTTTCACGATTGGTTGCTGATACAAAGGAAATGACCATATTTGGATCCGATGAGATTGTGCAGGAGAAACTGAGCTTTCCAACGATACCTCTGATGACATGGTGCAAACAGCGGTCGCGGTACTTTATGTTACGTTAGAATGCTAACTTTTGGTGAATGTAGGAGAAATCTACAGACGCAAATAGACAAACTATAGTAAAATAAACACTTAAATGTGTATTTTGTACGTTTTCCTTCCAAAAGCCTGAAAGAAAACATGTTATGGAATCAAAATAGCACAAAATCTCAAAATTGACCAGTGCAGGAAAAACGATGTTTTTGTCTGCCGTGTCTGGCCTTAAATGACAAACAAGTTGGCAGTTCATGCTATGCCAGCTTTTGGCTATCGAACATACTTAGACAACCTGGACTCCGCTGTAGTGAAGCGCTGTACATTTTTTACAATTAACTTCCTGGCAGCATCGTGACGATCCACTGTCTCTTCCTGTTTTATTCTCCCTTGTCTGGACTGAGAACGGAGGTGTAACGCCAGTTTGACTCAGACAGAATTACTGTAAACTAGAACAACATGTGAAATGTGTTTGTTTCATGAACAACATCTGTTGAAACAGGGTCATATTATCCTTTTGTGTTTTAATGTTTGCACTTTTAAGCAAAATATTATTATGAACAACTTCATGGTGAACTCTCTAACAAGGTTCCTGTAGATTGGTTAAAGGTCTCCTATTATGCAAAATGCACTTTTTAATGTCTTTTAAACATAAATATTTGTCAGGAAATAAACCCCTCTCTCTTTTCCTCCGTACCCACATCTCTAAAAACGGGGGAACAACGGAGCTGATCCAGATTTGCTGCGTCATGACGACATTACTAAAATGTGGGCGGGCTTTACACCCACGGGCCAATCAGAAACGTTGCTGTCAGAAACAATGAGACGTGTTCTGGACGTAATATGGTCTTTGTTTACATTAGCATGCTAACACTCAGAGCTAACCTGTACTGGAGAGAGTATGTGTGAAGAAGCAGGAAATCAAAAGGAACTCACCTGGTGGTAAACCTGAGAGAGAGAAAGAGTTTGAGCTCCATACTGTTTCAGAGAGAATCCTTGATGTGGTTTGGAACATGATATGGCGTTTAATCACGGCAGCATTTGGCTTAGAATCTGGGTAGAATTCTCCTGCATGAGCTCTCCTCTCTTTTTTTTTTAGGAGACCTTCTTTTGAAATACCAGGAGCTTATTTTTTCACATTATAGACATTTAGATTTATGTTTTTTTTACTTTCTTTCTTCCCTCAGGGCGGGAACGAAGTACACTGTGGCCGTGTTTGGGATGTTTGATGGAGGGGAGAGTGTTCCTCTGGCGGGAGAGGAGAACACCACCCTGATGGACGATCCTGACTCTCCTCCCGTCGACCCCTCCGGTAAAAGCCGATGTTTCCACCGCACCAAAACTCATTCTCACACAGAGCAGCCTGCAGACCAGACGCTCTCTGATCCAAATGTGTTAGAAAAATCTCCCTGGTCCCCGGCTTGAGCTTCAATCTCAGGATCCATGTATCTGTGATCCTCTCCAGAATGGAAGTAGTCGTCACATACAGAGCATCAACTAGTTCCTGAACAGTGTCCTTCACATGCTGATATCCAAGAGAGGGAGTTACACAGTCACAAGATGGAGGAATAGAAAGCAGTATTCAATGTTTACTTCAGATTAGCTCCACGTCAGAAATGATCATGCTTGTCATATGTCTATCTCCATAGAGGCTGAATCATCATGTTAATCACATAGCTATCATATGCCTCAAACAGTCCTGATGCTCTTCTAGGTAATCATACATCCTGTCATGTACACAGCTACAGCTGGGATACCTTTGTTATCACATGTACTCTGATATTGGAAGAGCACATTCAGTATTTTCCCAAGAAAATCCCTTTAAAAAGCCAGGAGTGGTTCGACTTAAATTAGAGCCAGAACGCTGAGTTATTCGCTGTCGGGGGGGATTAGCATCACTGTCTGTTTGACGCAGATGATTGTGATTATTACAAATGATTCAGAGCTGCTTGGCCCGCAGTTTTTCACCTACCTCATATCTCGGTTGGAGTTTGATCTGAAGCATAATCACATCATTTCACAGACATGTCGAAATGAACAATTATACATTCGTACAGTTGGACACGTTCCCTGACCAACTCACGTGTTGCATGTTTAAACGACGTAGCCACAAACTTATATCTCTTCCAAAAAGCTATTCAACTGCAAATGTTTTCATGCAAAGTAGATATTTCCTATCTTTATACTTTCGGCTCTGCTTGCAAGTATGCAGAGGAGGAGAAGGTTTCATTTACTCAGGTAAAAAGTATTAAAACCACAGGTGGTAAAAACTCTGTTACCACTAAAGTTCTGTAGTATAATCAGGGAAATACTCAAGTTCATTCAGATTCAATACAGATGAATGAAAGTGTCCCCAGTTACTGTTATCCTAGTAGATATTTCATCACTAGATTTCAATCACTTTTTTCAATTATTTATTGAGTTTTTGGGTCATAACATTTTTGATGGAAATGGAAAACGGGCAAATCTTCACACTTGATGACTGCAGCACAGGCAGTACGAGAACAATGTATAACTTTTGAAATATTAAAGCATGGAAGCATGTCCCAGTAGAGACACTAAATACTATATGAACCTAAAGAGGGCCCTTTTCAATTGTAAAGTAAATAATAACTTAAGCTGTCAGATAAATAAACTGTAAAGAGGAAACACTCTGAAACGTGGTAGAGTACAAGTAGAACGTGGCATACAAATATAATACTCCACTAAAGTAGACGTACCCTTAAAAGTACAGTACTTGAGTAAACAATGTAAAACTCCATATATAAAGTAATGAATAACTAAAGCAAAACATGGTGGAATACAAGTAGAAGGTGGCATGAGAACAAAACTCTCAAAGTACATCATACTTGAGTAAATGTACTTTCCACCCCCTCAGTTGTGTATATTTAATGATGCAGAGCTGCATTCTGGATGTATGCCGTTAGGAAAATGTTCCTCATGAGGCCCAGAGGAGGTGCTGACCCTGGGCAAAGTTTCTCTGTAATGGGGAGCAGAACCGGAGAACATTTTCCACGAGGTTCCTCTCAGAGACCCTCGTATATTCCCAGGCTCAGATCCAGACCCTCTGACAGCTCCATATGTTCTGGCACGGTCCTTCACATGCTGCACAAACTTTAGCTTTTACACGTCATGCTTTGTTCCTTTGCTAATGCTTTGAACAAAGTGTGAAAGCTGCGACAGTGAAGTGAGAAAAGTCCTGGAATTAGTTGACGTTATAATAATAATAATAATAATAATAATAGATGGGATTTGTATAGCGCTTTTCCTAATGCTCAAAGACGCTTAAATTATTATTATTATTATTAAATATTATGCAAAGAGGTCATGCTCTTAGATTTCTGATCACGTAAACCACCATCAAAAATGTAAAAATTCAACATGCAGTTAGCTGGTTAACTTCCCTTTCAAATGTTTTACATTGAATACACAGACACGTGTTTTAAGGACAGCTTGTTTATGATCAGTAGATGTTTCAGTAAAGGCGACTAACGTAGACAGCTTTCTGCTAAATCTAATCACAGTCAAACGGACATAATCATAAAGAGGAACAACAAATCCTACATTTAAGGTTGAGATCTAAAGATTCAACTCAATTGATGATGCTCATAATATCAGAGGTGGGAGAAGTACTCAGATCTTGTACTTTATTAACAGTAGAAGTACTCAGATCTTGCACTTGAGTAAAAGTAGAAGTACTCAGATCTTGTACTTTATTAACAGTAGAAGTACTCAGATCTTGTACTTGAGTAAAAGTAGAAGTACTCAGATCTTGTACTTGAGTAAAAGTAGAAGTACTCAGATCTTGTATTTGAGTAAAAGTAGAAGTCCTCAGATCTTGTACTTGAGTAAAAGTAGAAGTACTCAGATCTTGTACTTTATTAACAGTAGAAGTACTCAGATCTTGTACTTGAGTAAAAGTAGAAGTACTCAGATCTTGTACTTGAGTAAAAGTAGAAGTACTCAGATCTTGTACTTGAGTAAAAGTAGAAGTACTCAGATCTTGTATTTGAGTAAAAGTAGAAGTCCTCAGATCTTGTACTTGAGTAAAAGTAGAAGGAGTGAGATCTTGTACTTGAGTAAAAGTAGAAGTACTCAGATCTTGTACTTGAGTAAAAGTAGAAGTACTCAGATCTTGTACTTGAGTAAAAGTAGAAGTACTCAGATCTTGTACTTGAGTAAAAGTAGAAGTACTCAGATCTTGTTCTTGAGTAAAAGTAGAAGTACTCAGATCTTGTACTTGAGTAAAAGTAGAAGTACCAGAGTGTAGGAATACTCTGTTACAGTAAAAGTCCTGCATTCAAAATGTTCCTCAAGTAAAAGTAGAAAAGTATTATCATCAAAATATAGTGAAAGTAGCGACAGTAAAAGTAGTCATTGTGCAGATTGGTCCATTTCAGAATAATATATATGATATGTTTTATAATGATTGATCATGAAAGTGTTCTCAAAGCTGGTAAAGGTGCAGCTAACTTTAATGACTTCTCCATAAGTTGTGTATTTAACTTCTGTAGATGGTAGTTAAAAGGAACAGAAAGGAGTACCAGCAGGAAGCTAAACACTGAACTGCTGTGGACGTATTTTAGACCCCTAAAAACATTAATATCAGTTTAAGTTTACAGTATTTTCCCTGCTTTACCTTTTGCCGTCAGAACTGAAGACTTTATCTACGTTTCTTCAAAGCCACCAGACTCCAAAGACAAAAACAGTGATTTAAAAATGGGAGTTGCTTGTGTGCCTTTGGTGTTTTAAACGGTTAGTTCAGATTTACCAGAGTCACTGATCAAAGCTTATTTTAGACAGTAGACTCTTGTTCTGCGAGGTATAATGTCAGTTTTCTCAAAGGAGTCTGTTGGCTTTGAAGAAACGTGGATTTAAACGAGGACTCTTTAAAGTAGAGACACTACATACTGATATACACCTGAACATCAGCAGGAGAGGACTCTTTAAAGTAGACTCACTACATACTGATATACACCTGAACATCATCAGGAGAGGACTCTTTAAAGTAGAGACACTACATACTGATATACACCTGAACATCAGCAGGAGAGGACTCTTTAAAGTAGAGACACTACATAATGATATACACCTGAACATCAGCAGGAGAGGACTCTTTAAAGTAGAGTAACTACATACTGATATACACCTGAACACCAGCAGGAGAGGACTCTTTAAAGTAGAGACACTACATACTGATATACACCTGAACATCAGCAGGAGAGGACTCTTTAAAGTAGAGACACTACATACTGATATACACCTGAACATCAGCAGGAGAGGACTCTTTAAAGTAGAGACACTACATACTGATATACACCTGAACATCAGCAGGAGAGGACTCTTTAAAGTAGAGTAACTACATACTGATATACACCTGAACATCAGCAGGAGAGGACTCTTTAAAGTAGAGACACTACATACTGATATACACCTGAACACCAGCAGGAGAGGACTCTTTAAAGTAGAGACACTACATACTGATATACACCTGAACATCAGCAGGAGAGGACTCTTTAAAGTAGAGGCACTACATACTGATATACACCTGAACATCAGCAGGAGAGGACTCTTTAAAGTAGAGACACTACATACTGATATACACCTGAACATCAGCAGGAGAGGACTCTTTAAAGTAGAGACACTACATACTGATATACACCTGAACATCAGCAGGAGAGGACTCTTTAAAGTAGACTCACTACATACTGATATACACCTGAACATCAGCAGGAGAGGACTCTTTAAAGTAGAGACACTACATACTGATATACACCTGAACATCAGCAGGAGAGGACTCTTTAAAGTAGAGACACTACATACTGATATACACCTGAACATCAGCAGGAGAGGACTCTTTAAAGTAGAGACACTACATACTGATATACACCTGAACATCAGCAGGAGAGGACTCTTTAAAGTAGAGACACTACATACTGATATACACCTGAACATCAACAGGAGAGGACTCTTTAAAGTAGAGACACTACATACTGATATACACCTGAACATCAGCAGGAGAGGACTCTTTAAAGTAGAGGCACTACAGTACATACTGATATACACCTGAACATCAGCAGGAGAGGACTCTTTAAAGTAGAGGCACTACAGTACATACTGATATACACCTGAACATCAGCAGGAGAGGACTCTTTAAAGTAGAGGCACTACAGTACATACTGATATACACCTGAACATTAGCAGGAGAAGACTCTTTAAAGTAGAGACACTTATTATATTGAGACCTTATATTGAGTGATTTAGGTGTCTTAAATACGTCCACAGCTGCATCGCTTAGCTTCTGGTTGGTACTCAATACTGCATCTATTCTAGGTAAAACACTCTCTATGGAGAACTCTTTCAAACCATTTCCCTTTAAGAGACTCTCCTCCAAAAGGATATGAAACACATTTGGAAAAACAAAAAGCTAACTCATGTAGCCTCTCCTCCTCTGTCAGTAAACACATCAGTCTTTCTGACTTTGTAGTCTCTGGCTTCAGCACAAAAACAACCAGAGTCAGGTTTTCTGCAGCAGATGTATACTCCCACTGTCACACTGAACTGGATCTGAACTGGAGACACTGGTCTGCAGCACATTATTGCCTCTTAAAGCTGCCTCTGTTTATCACATGTGTTTTTATTAATGAATGTCGTAGGGACGCATGAGTGTTTTGTTTACCGACAGTCGGTACAACTCAAACAGAGTTCCTTTTTAGCATCTGTTTCTGCGGTCTGCTGCTGGAAAGAAAATGTCAAATCGATGATCTCTTAACCTGTTTTCAATTGCACCGACAGGGGTCTGGCTTTTTAAGTGCTGGGCGTGTCACTGACAAAAAAGAAAGAGGACAAGCGGACATTTTTCAGGTGCCTGGAGCAGGAATGTGCAGGAGAACGTCGTATATCACGAAGAAGAAAAGTGTGCAGATTTTCGCCGCTGGATGTAAACAAATTGAAATGATCTTGCTGTGCTTGAAGAGGACAAAAAGCCCGGAAGAGAGAAAGCACTTAATCAAAACATACCAGCTGTTGTACCATGATTGTGATCTGTGTCTGTGGTGTAAACATCTTCAACTTGTGATGCTATTTTCCTCTCACTTTCCCCACATACATCTGTCTCTTACTCCTCATATAAAACTCATGGTGGTTGTCTTTGTTGTACCAGGTGTCTCTTTCTTATCCTCCTCCCTCTTCCTCACTGTTTCTCTGCAGACACTAAGTGTAAAACCACAGCTCAAGCAGATCTTGTGCTGCTGGTCGACGGCTCCTGGAGCATCGGGCGCATCAACTTCAAAACCATCAGAAACTTCATCGCTCGCATGGTCAGCGTGTTCGACATCAGCCCTGACAGAGTGCAGATCGGTAATATTTCCACTATAAAGTGGTGCTGAGATGTCGTATTTCTGAGTGGATCCTGAAGGCAGCATCTCCCTGGTTCAATGGCTTTTCTCCATGTGATTTTGGATTATTGTAGAAAATACAAAACAAACTTTTATGATACTTACATGTTAAGTTAAAGGAGGCTAATGTTGGGCTATAAATGAACTACAGCACGGTCACATGACTTCACGTCACCACCGCTAAGCTAAAGGCGGCTAACGTTCGGCTATAAAGGAACTACAGCACGGTCACATGACATCACGTCACCACCGCTAAGCTAAAGGAGTCTAATGTTGGGCTATAAAGGAACTACAGCACGGTCACATGACTTCATGTCACCACCGCTAAGCTAAAGGTGGCTAATGTTGGGCTATAAAGGAACTACAGCACGGTCACATGACTTCATGTCACCACCGCTAAGCTAAAGGCGGCTAATGTTGGGCATGATGACGTTTAGTCGTCTCATTTAGACACTTGTTAGCAACCGCAGTTTTTAAATTCACCAGTGGGGTATTTATTAACATATTTATGTCGTATAATCCTTATTTCAGGCTAACAACCAAAATCACATTCAGAAATCCATTGAACCTCCAGACGAGAAGCCTAAATGCTGCAGTTTTTTTATTTGTAAACCTGTAAATAAGTTCATTCTAAAGACAGTTTGTTGTGTCCTTGGTGTTTTGTTCCTGCTTCAGCTCTGGCTCAGTACAGTGGAGACCCAAAAACTGAGTGGAATCTGAATGCTCATAGCACCAAGGCCTCGCTGCTGGATGCCATCGCTCAACTGCCGTACAAAGGAGGAAACACCATGACAGGTACGTTAAGCAACAGATCGAGACCCCAATCTGGCCTAATCTTAGGCAATGTATTTATTAGCTGAAGAGA